TGTTCAAAAAAGGAGAGAGGTCCCGGCGGATGGCCTCCACTTTTGATTTAAAAAATGCTGCAAGGTTGGGAACCATAAGTCTAGAACATCAGGGATTCAACTCCTCTGGGCTTCAAATTCCAGAAGTCCCATAGAGCATAGCAAATAGTTAAGTATTCCATGAGTTGAAGCCTAAAACATGTGGAGAGCGAAATGAGGAAAAACACTTGTCTAGTGTCCTATAGAAACCGTGCTTCCCAGTCACTGGCTAGATTCCAACTACATAGCAGAGACTTGTTTTAGTCCTGCATCTTGACCTGAGTGAAAGGCCAACTAGAAAAGACCAACTAGAAAAATGTCCTCTTGTCTTCCAAGTGACATTATATAAAGAAAAGAGGAAGACTGATGCTCAGTTTGCTGATCAACTCTGGGGAAGTTAAGGTGAAAATATGGAAGGGGGGGCAATTAATGGAGAAAAGTGGTCAAAAACTAAAGGTCGCCTTTTAGCTGCTGACACTTGCTGTGTCAACTTACAATAGGTTCCTGTGGCTTTTAATAAACAGAACTTGTTTCCTGTCAATGCTCCTGCAAAATGCAAAGAAGGACTTGACTATCTCCCCCCACAGGCCTGTGCTGAACAGCATCTGAAGAACAGACTCTGTACAAGCTAAATGCAAACTCAGACAAAGCTCTGAGTAAAATGAAACTGCAGAGGTAGCATTTCTTCCAGAACAGCTGGAGCACATTAAACTTTGCCTCTCCCTGGCTTTGTCCCTGGGGTTGAAAAACTTGCCATTTTGCCAGGAAGCAGCCCTGTACTATTCTGCACAATGCAGGAATCCTGAAATATCAAGAATAAGCTACAAAAGGATTAGAAGGAAAGTATGTAGTGCTTGTTCAAAAGCTCCTAGAAAAGAACTGACTGGCTCTTTCAGTACCTAATATCTGATTGTGATCCATATGAGATCCCCATTTTATTTCACAGAAGCATGAGGAAGGCTTGGAGATAACTGGAGCCAAAGATTGGAGTGGGGTGGGGTGGAAATCATGATTTGAGCGGAGTGAGGTATCTCTCCCCTCCACTGCTTTGGGATGATCCCTTCCCTTCATGAGCTGTGCTAGGCCTGGGTAAAAGCTGAAAAGTGTATTTAAGCATAACCAAGAACATACCATTATCTTCTATTACTGTGTCATCATTCAACAGCTGCCTCATCTTTTACTATATGGCAGATCACCATGATCCGATGTTTCAACCATGGGCCACATGGACCACATTCCTTTAATTAAGCATGCTACTTGGTAGTTTTTCTGATCTGATCAATATCAAATGAAAGTTAGATTCCCTGAACCTCAAGGGGAGGCAGAGAAAGAGACATCACAAACAAGCACAAATTGGCCAAAATGAACATAAACTGGCCACATCACAAACTGCAGATTAAAAGGTAAAGATGCTGACTAAAATCCAAAACTGTTCCTGGCATGTCTTTTAAATAATCACTTCCATTATTCTAGCTGCAATTTTCACTTCCAACATCTATGGATGATATTTGGCAGGGTGGGAGGATTCTCTAAACATGGCTGAGAATTCTTTGTCCCAGAAAATGGATTATGTTCCCGCTAACATCAACCCCCATACAAGCCTTAATGGCATCAGCCACCTGCATGACATGCATATTCCAGAAAGAGTGAGGATAATCCCTGCACCAAAATGTTCCAAAGTTTTAGAGATTTCTGTCCACAAAGGAAAGACAAAAATATACTGTGATTTTCAACACAAGTTAACAAAGATTTCAGAAAGACTGTTCAACTAGCACTGCCAATTATCTCAATGTTCCTAAGACAGGTGTTTGTTACAAATTAACATTCTCCATGGTTAGCAACAGAAAGATGAACATTAAAAAAGTTACACACTAGTAAACCATAAACCAGCTACTGTAAAACATGCAGAAATCTGCATCAGCACATCTGGAAGTCAGTGTGATTAGAAGGTACACAACAGCTTTGAGAAACCCAATTTTAAATGTTGTCAGTGCCACAGACCTGCTAAATGTCAATGAGGAACCGATTCTCCCCACCTCAGTTAACAGTTTGCCAATATGTGAGAAGACTTCCAAATGTTGTTGGATTTCAACTCCCATCAGTCCCAGGCAGAAAAGTCAATGGCAATCCATCAAGGCTGCAGGCCCAAGAGAATAAGACCACAGGCAGACAGGCGCAGCTGCACCAAGCAGTTAGCAAGGTAAAATTATGTACCCCACAGAAGCATTTGTAAAGGGTAGGAGACCCACCCTGGCGTGCTCTGGTCCATGGAGTCACGAAGAGTCAGACACGACTTAACGACTAAACAACAACAACAAAAAGGAGAACTTGGGGGGGGGGAGATACAGAATAACTGAGATGGGAAAAGGCCATGACCGGCAGACTGCTTATCTCAAAGCACACAAACACAACCGCAAGGAAGACTGAAAAATGGTCAACTATCTATAAACAATGGCTTAGTACCACTACATTAAATAGTAATTGTGGACAACGTGAGTGAAAAAGAAGGTATGCACTAAGTCTAACAGAGTGTGATGCAGGAGACAGAGTCATGGACTAGGGCTCAGACAACCAGCCACAGAAACCCATGGGGATGAGGGGCAATGGTAAGATCGCTCTCCAAATATCTCATTTCCTTGAAAGCCCTATTAGGGTCATTATCTGTCAGTTTTCATTTGACAGCACATAACACACAAAGTCTGGCTATGTTTGCAACTACCATATCCTACAACAGTGCTGGTTTACTCCACGCTTAACATCAGCAACTAAATGTGTTACTTCTGCATAGCATAGGCAGTACTAGCTTGGCCTAGATGACCCTGAGGACACCTTCCAACTCTCTAATTCCACCTCAGTCTGAAATTGCTGTGGGAGGAAACTACCCCATTGTGTGTGTGTGTGTGTGTGTGTGTGTACTCTTTGCTATCAAGTCAGAACTGACTTATAGCAATCCTAATAGGGTTTTCAAGGTGAGATATTCAAGGAGTGGTTTTACCAGTTCTGCTCCCCCAGGAAATTTCCATGGCCCAGCAGGGATTTGAATCCTGTGCTTCAGAGTCCTAGTCCATCACTCTATCTGCTAGACAACACTGTAAATCTCCAGTACCCTGGGATACATTTAAAGATTATGCAAGAGATACTGTGCCCTTTAATCTAAATCAGAAGAAGACAAAGTACTTTAATTTTAGAAGTACTTTCAATCAGAAGAATGACTGAAATTTTAGAATGAAAGTACTTTCAATCAAAAACAGCCTTTCCCTAGGAGAGACACTTCCCTCTTAATCCAGGCATATCCCTGGACGATTCCTGTTCACCAAGGAATCCCGCTTTTAAAAAGGCAGAGGCGGCCCTCCTCACGCAGCCTCTTCTCAAGAAGCCACAGGTAATGTTTGGCATCACATCCTCCCACACACACACACCGAATTCCTTGGGCGGGTTGGACCATTCCCAGTCGCTCCGCTCAGCCCACCTCACAGGGTGGTTGTTGTGAGGATGAAGTAGCGGGAGGGAGATTTCCCCTTAAGGGGCAAGGAGGGATAGAAACGTTAAGTAATAAATGAACAAACGCCGAGAAACAAAGAAATTCACGACGTGAGGGAAGAAAAAGGGCTCCGAAGACGTGCCCCCGGGGCCAGACAAGCTCTAATGAACTCTGTGAGGCGGAATTTTGACGGCTGGTGTGTTGTGGGTGTCACAAGAACACAAGAACACACACACACCCACAAGCTGAGGGAGGAAACGCCTCCCCCTCCCTTGAACGGGATGCCACTCTGACATCCCGCTTTTTCTGGGAAAGAAACCGCGCCCCTCCAGAGCTCGAAACGGGGGTGGGGAGAAGAG